CCAGTTAACCAATAAAAATTGCAAGCGAAAGTGAAGCGCCCGCGAGCAGATAAAAATTATTCTTCTCTGATCGAGAGGTGAACGATTTAGAGGTCTTAAGACTGACTACGCTCTACAGAGGCCTTACACTATTTCCGGGGCCCCCGTATGTCCAATTGCGGGGGCAATATGATCGTTAGGAGGCCTTTTACGTTGCCCTTGATTTCTTTGCTTTTGCTCAGAGGGCCTTGTGCTGTTGTTGGGGCTCACCGTGCTACCGAGCCGGGACACTCTTAGTCAATCAGAGACCTTCCAGGGATACTTTCCATTCGCCCGAAACGCTCCATATGTTAGAGCCAGGGGGCCCATATGTTGACATTCCGGGGTATTCTTATTTGCTCAGGGGCCCTTCACGTTGGTCACGGCTAACCTACTGGCACACTCACGCTATGTCCATGGGCCCTCTGCATTGGTCTAGGGCCCTCCCAATTTTTTGCCACTTGCTAAGGCCCCTACGCTGTTGTCGAGGCCCTATCTGTTAACCTGCTCGGGCATACTCAGTCGTTTGGGGGTCCTCGACATTGGGTCTTGGGTGCTTCCTTTAGAATAGAGGCCCATACGTACTCGTCGTGGCCATCTGTGCACCTCTTCGGGCGCACTGGATGGTTCGAGGGCCCTGCACATTGGGTCTTAGTATTTTAATGTAGTGCCCTACGTCCGTGTCAGGGGTTATCTGATAGCCTGCACGGGTACACTCCATCTTTCGGGCCCTCCCCACTAGATCATGGATGATTCTGATTTGAATTGAGGGCTCTACGTTCCTGGCGGGGCCCCTTCTCATGGACTACCCTGGCACACTTGATTGTACGTGGATCATCTACATTGCGTCTTGGTTACTTCCTATTTGAATGGAGGGTCCCACACGCTTGTCGGGAGCTCGGGAGATGAAAATAAAATGTCGGGAGAAAAAGCATTTATTATTGGAATGGAGCGTCCTATGCTGTTATCGGGCCGTCCCCCCATCTGTTGACCTGCTCGGGCACACTCGATCATTCCTGGGCCCCCATATTGTGTCTTGGGGACTTTTTATTTGAATGAATGGTCCTATGTTCTTGTCGGGTCCCATCTATCAAACTGCTCAGGCCAATGGTGGATCCAAAGGAGGGTGATACGGAACCGTGCTTCCCCCTTGTGTCCCGAGCGCACCCATAGCCTCTGACATACTTGTAAATCGCGATCGCCAGCCTTGATCCTGGTTGGGATTTGGGCACTCTCAGGCCCAGACCGACACGGAGTCGACTGTTCGGGACTGGTGGTGTCTGACCGACATAGAGGCCCTCATGGACTCAGGGGCTCAATCGGCGCAAAGGGCCCTCTGACTGGTATTTGAGAGTCCAGTCAACAGGGCCGGGCCCCTTAATACCACCTTCGGCCCGCTCTTATCGCCCTTAATGGTCCGTCCCAATAGGGGGGGGGGGGGGGGGGGGGGGCTTGTCCTTTTCCGCGCCAATGTAGCAGCATTCCAGGGCATTTTTCTGGATTTCATTGGTTTAAGATTTTTTTTACCTTTTCGGGATGACTAAGAGGAGCATTGAGGACTCAAGTCAGCTTCACGGGGAGGAGGTTGGGGCCCCTCTGAAAGTGAAAAATTGATGCAACAGTTTAAAAGCATGGAGACAGGCGCGTGCCTCCTGATGTTAGCGGTATTCGTGTTGGCGTTGACGCTCCCAACATTACTGCCATCATATGGCCACAGCGTGTTCGCCAGCTTACATCGAATCTTCAGACAGAATTGGTCAGTGACAAAAAAGGGGGTAACATAGCTTTTAACATACGCGCTTGCAAGTAGTAGAAACAAAAACCCCGTCGCCCGGTGCTCTATTGTCCACAGGCCGCGCGGCGTCGGCACTGCGATTAACACCAGCCGACGGCCAACGAGTGGACGAAAATGATATGAACTAAGTGCCTTTGATTGAATGCCCTTTAATCTGTATGCTTAGAAAGCAGTTCTGGCGTATTTTCACTCGTACGATTTTTGTAATGACGAGAGAAACGGATTAACATTGACAACACCCCGAACTGATGCAAGAATCCGCTGATGGAATTGAAAGAAAAAAAAAATATATTTTCCACTTTGCTGCAACTGTTAATCTGTTCAAATGTCCTAGCTATAGTCGTAAAGAATAGATATATGTTCCAATTTAGTCTTTCAACGGTTCCAATTTATTTGAATGACTTTCGGAAACACTATTTTACGGCGGTCGTTTTCGCACGCCCGGGCGATCCCGCCTGGCGTCATCTGCAGTGGCCATCTCCGTTCGGTTTTACACAAACTGCAGCCCGGCCATAGCTGTCATTGGACGTGAGGCTACAAGCGCGCAGGCTCGAAGCGTTTTTTTTTTCACAATATGATTTTGCAAAGGATGGACATCCTCAAGCAAACATGAGCTGCCCTTTTCATTCTTGACCTTATTTCGCTCCACTCTTTTGAACATTAATAAAACCCCTTGCCCTCCTTCCGGGTCAGAAGCCCCGTAGATAGAACACGGGTGTAAGCACATTCTCATTCCCGGCCAGAGGTTCAAGGGCCATTCCGTCTCAGCGCGGGGTATCCATCAGCTGCCATTCCAGTGGCACATTAGGTCGGAGTCCCTTAGTCAACCCAAAGACCTTTAGAGAGACGCATGATACATTGGTCCTGCCCTGACACGGTGAGTCCCCTGACCCGGTTAGTCGGCCACGGATTGACGCTGGAGCCCTCATTGACGTAACGAGTTCCCTCATCGCCGCAAGTGGTTCAATAATTGGTACTGAGACTCCATTTTGGCTTAACAAACCACTAACTGAAATGCGGCTGAGAGCCGCCCGTTTGGCACTGGGGACCCTAACGGCCACAGAGCGCCTCCACTGTCTCATTGCAGACTCTCGTCACAACTTATGACAACTCCTTTCATTGCCAGAGCGGCCCCGACCAACGACCAACAACTTGGCTCGGGCAAGAGGTTCCCTGGCATTTGGAGTCCTGTCCCTGCACCTGTCCATGGTCAGCAAATGTTCTTCTGGCCGACTCGAGACCTCTTGCCGGCACAGGACCCCGTTAGATACTGTGGGCCCTTCACCGACGCATGGGTCTGCGGGCACTTTATTATTTCAGGGACCCCGACCAATGCAAATCGCGGACCCCGGCCCTGTTCCTGCCTGGGCGATGGATCCTAAGGAGCCAGACCGACACAAAGCCAACCGTTCGGTGTTGGTGGTCTATAGTTCACATTGAGGTCCGCATTGTCCGAAGAGGTTCTCAGTCCCTGCAAAATGCCTCCTCACTGGTATTTCAGGTCCCGACCTTACAGGCTACGATACTTAATGCGGTCTACAGCCAGGCCTTTGGGCCCTTCGGGCCACTCAGACACCCAATCGGCTCCTTGATCGTCGGTCTCGAGGGACTTTTCTGGCGCCCTCGAACATGGCCCTGGCTGACTTGGATCAGTCACCGGCACAACGCCCTTGGCTTGGCTTGGCGAAGTTATCGGTCGCTCAGATATCTTATCGCAGCTCTGACGTCCGCGTCCGCGAGCGCTCCCTGCATTGCTTTTCCGTTAGATCGCACGGCTGGGACCTAAGTGAGCTTTGAGACGCTCTGTGAAAGCTCGCTTCATGTGGTCGAACGGTCGAAGAACCGCAAGGATCCTACGATAGGTTTCTTGTTATCGGTGAAAGTGACAGTGTTTCGAATTCCAAGTGAGCGGATATGTTGATACGGCGCACAGAATGGTTTTGGCTTCAGCTGATCATGGCGTGCTTAGTGAGTAAGTACTCTCCGGCCGACGGCCACATGCTGTTACAAGACTATGATGGTGACGATTGGTGATTGGTGGTGGTGGTGATTGGTGACGTTCTGGACCACAAAACCGAGAAATCAGCCAGCTGAGCATAAACGGAAGACTGTAAAGGCCTATCACGTTGCATGCATGCAAATTGGACAGCTACCAGCCTTGTGCGATCGTACGAAGTTATGCCCGTGATGACGTGATTAGTCTTGGTTGCAACAACATTTCGACAATGTCGCAATGTGATGCAATGCAATCAATTGCGCCTGATCTGGGGAGAGTGACAGAGTTGGGGACGGGCTATGCATAGGCGCAGAGAACCAGTTAAAGGACGTAAAGAACCAGCTAGGTTAGCGTCTCACATTTTAAGATAATGAGGCAAGCATCAGATGTTATAAAACACTCTCACTCATAACTATAGGTATGTCTTTTTAGTGGAAAAGACTGCTATGGACGGCACAGTTCTCTGTTTAGAAGACATGCTCCTCAATCCGTCATGGTTTGATTACGTCAGCGTACCTTGCGCGGCATTGATTGAGAGTCAGTTGACGGACGTTATCTTTTGAAACCGTGCTCACGAACACCAGATATGAGCGCTCCGGCAGTTACATTTTTTATTGACCGTGATCGCTGCATAGCTAATAGAATGGCAGGGTTTGAGTGCCGTTATTATGACGTCATGAATGCCAAGGTGACTTTGAAATACTCTCCACGAAATGCTCTGTTCATTTTCGCGGGCTTTTAGCTAAAAAATGAGAACATTCCAGTTCAATCTCACAGTAATATGGAGCACTCTCTTTAAATAGCTGGGTAAGGGGAGGCAGTGGGACAAAGTGGCGTGCTTGGTAAAACGGGGTAATCTCTTAGTGCGAACTCGAGGTAAAAGTATAACACCTAACAGGTCCACCATCAGACAGCTTGGTACATCCACGATGTCTCACCTGCAGAACATGGTTCTTCTTCGGTCTTAGACAATCGTCTTGAACCGCAGGTGGCGTAGACTAGCAAGGGGCGACAATGGGGGCGAGATACATGCAATGTGTGTGTCAACATGCATGTATACAAGTAGAGTCGAAACACAGTGATCTATCTATGTTTCAGATGCTGAGCGACAAATGCAGCGTAGACAGAGCGAAGTCACCGACTTTCATGCGAAACAGTACAGGTTGCGAAATGTCACAGCTGATACTAAGATAAATACACTCTTGCTAACGGTAGGTGACATATGATGTGACTCCAGTCTTGCGTCTCATTGGTGACAAAACGCCTATGTCTAACCCGTCCCCTGCGCCTCGTCACTGGACTGAAAAGCAATCAGCCGCGGGCTGATATCATAGATTAAATTTCCATCTATAATAATCTCAGTCACCTTGGATACATTCGAATACTTCCTTTCAAGATGTGGACAGGCCTGAGCCATATATTTCACTTTCATTTTCCCCTTTGATCCGTGCATCAATCATGATTGTATTCAAAAAGAAGAACCAAATGCGTGCAAAAATCGGTGCTTACATACAAGCGACAGTTTTCCCGAAGGGCGAAATGTTTGAAGCCTCGGTGCAGTTTGGAAGCTGTTGCAATCTGGTCAATGTAATCGGGTGGCACCAGTGCTTGCCATTAATAAACGCTTCTTTGTCCGACGAAATGCTTTGAGGCCGCAAAATTGCATTTTTCCACATATTTTTTCTTCTTTTTTAGTCGCCAGAAGATGTATAACCAATCTCAGTGGTCATACCACCCTATTACATATTCTGATGTTAGTTCATTTCGGAATCATGAAGGCAAAGATGAATCTGAGAATGACCGTGTGTCACAAATATCAAAATATAAATTATGTTAATGCTTCGTTATTATCGTAAGCCGGGGAAGATCGGAGCTCCAAACCATGTGTAGAGTGACGGTATCTTACAGTTGAGAAGTAATCTGAATACTGTTACCAAAATTATTCACGCCATTGTATTGGCCTTATGAAATTCAGCAACAGTTTGAATACAGTCTTCCACAATAGACCACACAGGACCAGAGCAACACAACGCATTTTGCCGCATGTTCGACTTAGTAAGAAAAACTGGATGTACTATGCGCATTAATATTTAGCAAATCTCATAAATGGTTGTGACATACATACGGGGGCTGAAAGTGAAATGCGTTGACTGGTGTCGCTAGTTGCCCCAGTCGGATTCACCGGACGTCCAGTACAATGTGAGCAGTCCTGACCGGTTCAGGGTGGACGACCGAGGCCGGGTCTTCACCAGAGTAGCCGGCAGCGACTTACTGAAAGATGCCAGCAGCACCAGCTTCGCCGTCAACGCCTTCAATACAGGTGTGGGTCATGCAAACCAGCAGCACCGAGCGTAGCTGACGCGGCGCGAACAGTGATGTGGAATCGCAGACAGTGCATGCGCTTGCCGGCCCATGCCTGCAAAGTTTAACATCATGGCAAAAATCACACTGACGGAGATACCGCAGTTAACTCTAGGGTAGCTAATGCTACACCGCAGTGCCAGAGTTAGAGTGTGCCACTCCCCCGCCTGTTTTGCTGACGTTTGGGCCCCAGTAAACCAGCATACCCATCAGCACAGGCCTGTCCCCTGCCCTGCCGCAACTGACGACTGACTGACGATCACCTGCCCTGACGCAGCTGACGACTGACTGACGATCACTGCCCTGACGCGACTGACGACTGACTGACGATCATTGCCCTGACGCGACTGACGACTGACTGACGATCACCTGCCCTGACGCGACTGACCACTGACTGACAATCACCTGCCCTGACGCGACTGACGACTGACTGACGATCACCTACCCTGACGCGACTGACGACTGACTGACGATCACCTGCCCTGATGCGACTGACTGCCGACTGAGTGACGATCCGGACGACTGAGCCCAGCGCGTTCGCCTGACCCTGTCGTGCCGGCATGCTTCAGAGAGCTCGGAGATGAGAGTCTCCAAAGTCCTGCTGCTGACCGGCAACCAGCCGCCCCAGTTCTCCGACGACTCTTACGAGGCACACGTCTATGAGAACGCCGCCCAAGGTAGACCTGTCTCCAGCAGATTACTGGAAGAACGAACCGGTGTGGTTTGACGGTAGTCTCCAGTTCCTGCTGGTGTGCCCTCATGGCCGTGCCCGCGGCACCCGCATGGGTGGTGCTAATCGTCACCCATCGCAACTGGCAGTGACAATTCGAAAAAAGCATACATCCTCAAATCAGCACATGAGGGCGAAAACATCGTTGCAATTTTCAGCGGACATCACGAGCACGCTTTGACCCAACTTCTACAGCTCCGGTGTAGCTTTGGGGTACTGCCTCATCTTGGCGCCTTCATAAATTCACCTTCAAAATCACTGTCAGACAGTCAAAATCCTTCAAATTCACTTCGCAGAACAAGTGCGATGTGAGCTAAAATCAGCTGCCAAAAATAAAGCTACTGTAGAGAGAAAAATACGCCCATTCCTAAACACGCAGCTTAAGATATCAGCTATTGGTGGCCCACATATGTGTAATTCTCCCTCAAATACAGTGAGCTTACCACCGTCGAACCGCACAAAAAGTTGCAACACGCTAACCCGATTCCTCTGTTGTCATTCCTCTGCCAGGAGTGTGCCCTTACATTATAACAGTTGTGCAAAGTTCTATTTGTTGAATTCTACGCAGGATTCGGAGCCACATCGAGCTGATGTCTGCGCTTGAAACTGATGGAGCTGTAAGCCACCGTCACGTGTGCTACCTCCGTGACTTTTTAGCCTTCCAGTGCTGCTCTCTGTAGATGATGGTGACCTCGTTAAACGCTGATCAGTGGTCGCCTTTTTACCATGCTTGCTCTCCTCTGCCAGCCTTCAGAGCCTCACCCCGGATGATTGGCTTTCTGTGATGTCACAGCACGATATAATTTAGGGGTGTCCTCCTTTTCTTGGAAATGTCCTTCCCGGTTAAATCAATGGTAGAACGTTGGAGTTGTGATCAGAAGACACCGGTTCGAATCCGAAATTCCACGGAGAACGCTGGGGCTGTGATGCGTGCGTGGTTGAAAGCCAAATGTCACTCGGAATTTTTTACGTGATTTAATAACACGTGACGACGACCAGGGAAGTACCTGGCCGAAGCCTTGCATACATACTAACACGCCAGACGAGAACGATAGTCTTAACAGTTGACCCATCAGCGATGCTACCAGCTCGTCTCATTTATTCCGTAGAACTGAACCATCACGCTCAATTTATTCATTCATTCATTCATGTATTCTCTCATTTTTTCATACATGTACTCATTCGCACTTATATACATTCACTTCGTGTCAGCCATGCTGAAATAAAGTGCATTGCACTGGTGTGCATTGGTCCCCTTACGGTAGTCTGGCTGGCGCGCGCTCTGTGACAGGGTCCCTGGTACGAGCCGTGGTCGCCCAGGATCCGGACACCGACCCCATCACCTACATCATCCGGAAACCGGGCACCAGAATGGACACAAGCGAGTACGAGATGGTAAGTCAAACCTAGATGTCCGGTCATGAATCTGCATCTAGGGGGAATGAAGCGGACTGTTCACTATGCCACTGCGTCATCCTTGACTTTTGACCAGGAGATGAAGTTTTTTAAAGCTTAACGAAAGCAGAGTTATCGAGGATCGATATGATATCCAATTGGTGGAGATTCTTTGGTAAACCAGTAAAAAGCAGGCCACCACATTTCTCATAACCTGTGCCTCTGACCTCGACATGTATTTTTCTGATGTGGCGAAAGAACGCATCACAATCATCACTAGGATTGTAGTTCGTTTGTTGTTGTAGATGACGTTTTTGTAGTTCTGTAATGGATAGATGAATGTCATGGTACCACGTTTTGCATGACCTGGACCTTTGGCCTGAGATGAAAGGTTTCGCAAATGTGCCGAGAGTAGAGATTGCAGACATCACTGAGTTATTAACTGTGTTGAATTCTATTGGCAAACGAAGAAATGCCAAGATACAGTGTTTTGTGTGACATTGACCATTGACCATAAAAATTATTACTGTAGGTGTGACGTAAGCGAATATCATGGGCATCTTTATGGTGCCCATTTTGTATTTTTTTTTCAGTTTTTCAAAACGAGACGAAGGCGGACGTTACCAGATCAAAAATAGCACCCTTAATGTTATAGCTGTTTTATGAGCGCAGAAATATCACAGCACACGATCATATGTGATCTTGACCTTTGACACTCAAAGCTTTTGTACGCATGACGAAAGTGGGCATTATGAGAATGAATATGATGCCTGGTTAGTGGTGTTAGTGGTGTTTCCCCTTTAAGCAAATACACGCCGAGGTGCCGTGTTTTGTGGGACTCTGATCTTTAATCTTAGTTTAATTTTTCCAGGTGTAACGAAAGCATCTTGTATGTTTTTGGCAAGCGAATAAATGCCGAGCTACTCCACTTTGTATGCACTTGATCTTTGATCTTCGAAATTCATTACTTAGATGTGACAAAAGCAGACATCAAAACATTGCTATGATACCCATTTCGTTGTATTTCTTTGGTAAACAAACAGTACACTTTGGCCAAAACTTTGTGGTAAATAAAGAAGTACCAGGCGCCATGTGATGTGTGACCCAGTGCGATGACCTTCAAAACTACGTTTTCTGGATTGATGAAAGTGGGCATCACGACCATCGCTATGATACCCATTTTGTTATATTTCTTGCTAAACGAATGAATGCCGGGGTACTGCCTTCCGTGTGACGCTAGCCTTTGACCTTAAAAACTATTTCTTACGAAAGTGACGGAAGTGGACGTCACGGACATGACTTGATACCCTCACTGTTGTTGTTTGCTTTTGAGGTAAACGAATAAATATTGGTATACTGTTTTTTGTAACCTTAACTTTTGACCCTGAAAATAACTTTTTGGGGGCATGACGGCAGTGAACATCACATGCGTGATGACGCTACCTCTTCCGTTGTATTTGTCTGATGAACGAATAAATGTCAGGGCACGGCGTCTTTTGTGACTCTGACATTCCACCTCAAAAGTTAATTTATGTGGGTAAGACGAAAGCGGATAAGTTTGTTGCGATTGTTTCATGAATAAAAACTTTGTAGAATATCACTTTTACGCGATCTTTATCTTCGACGTTGCTATTTTTGGCAGATGTGATGACATTCGACACGACGAGGATATACATAATACCCGTAAAAATAAACATACTACCCGTTTTATTTGATTTCTTAATCAAACGAAGGGAGACTAGGATTCCCAAGTTTTCGCCTTTTATTGACCTGTAGAGGTCAAACTAAGTGACGAAGAGAACGGAGAAATTTGGCAGTTGGCATTACACGTGACAGTGTTCCTTTATCGCAGCGGACTGCTGGTGTCATACCTGCGCGCGCTGATATGCCCTCCACTTTAAATATTAGCGGCATCGCCTCTCTTATCGTTTGAATAACGCAACCGTTCTTCGCACTATGCCGTTGCAAAGGCGATATGACTGAACGGGGAAAATGATGACAAAGAGGTGTGCTGTTCGTTTCTCTAAAGAGCTTTCCGAATGATGACAGAATAATGAATCAACAATCATCATGAACCTTGTAGCTGGCATGAGCCGTTAGAGTGATGAACCTCTTTGTTCTCGCTGTGCGGATGTCTGGCGACTTGGGGGCACCAGTTGATCGTCGCATTCCACAACGACTACAGGTCGTGTGAAGCACTGCCGAACGTGCTTTAATATTCCCGGTGAAATCGATGCAAACGATCATCATGTTCGTGACCATAGCGAGTATTACCCACGTGCCGTAAAATATTCGGGAAATGGGGGATTACCATGCATACGCCCCCTCAAGGACCGTTGCACAGTGTACATACAGGTCACGTTATTGGAGGACGAGTAATGACTGAAAAGTCAATGCCTTTCCTACGGCTGCTGCTAATAGGCACGGATTCGCCAGCTTGCGGCGACCGACGTCCGGCATGTGCGTTATCAGCAGCCGGATAACACAGCATGCCAGGTCGGACGGCGGCGTGTTACTCGTACTCTGCCGGAAATCCGACGTCGTGTTTTCTGATTTGTCGTCCGTGATTCACGACAGTGCTGGTGGCCAAGTCTAGTGACATGTTTGACTTGTGTTTGACTAGTGTCACCTTGACGAGTCAAGGTGACATAACAGAGGGGATCCTGACATGTTTTGCTCATGAAGCAATTGCAACAAAAGTAGACAAGTAGACGGAAGTCCACATCACACGTAGAAATACGACATGCTTCTTGTTGTATTTCTTAGGCAAAGGAGCAGATATCGGGGTACTGGCTTTTATGTGACCTTGACCTTAGACCATGAAGGCTGTTTTCTAGATGTGACAAAAGTGGACACCATGACCAATATTGCGATACCCCATGTGTTGTGTTTCTTTGGTGAACGAATGAAAGCCAAGATATTGTCTTCTGTATGATCGTAACCTCTGACCTTCAATACTTCTAAGTGCAACAAAAGTTAACACCACGAGCGCCATTATAATGTCATTTCCTTTTTGGTTGTTTAGTAAACGATTAATTACCAGGGTAGGCGTTTTTATCTTAACCTGTCACCTTAAAGGGAGTGTTCCGCATTGGTATGGGATTTTGAACTGAAATAGCCATCTTGAGGACCTTTTAATGTAGTTTACGGCCATGTCCTTTCCAACACCCGAAACCATCTGGTTCCTGAGATACACGCCAGCAAAACTGCGGAAAAGGTTCATTAGTTGACTATTTCCAAGTCACCTTGACATTAATGGCGTCATAGAAACGACATAGGATCGCCGTCACATTACAGGCTGTTTTCTGTTTGCGGCCCAGAACAGCATGGCCACTGATGCCTTTGCAAAGGCGATGATGCTGCACATATGATGCAGTCCGCGGAAGGTGATTTGCTGTTGGTAAGATTTTACTACTGCGTGCGTGTCGCGAGCGTAAGCGTGAGCACTTTCGACATATGTGGCACTTGTCAACGGGGCATTTTCCCCGATTCCTAGGCAGTGTCCTATTTTGCGTTGGTACGGGATGCCGAAGAGAAAGTGTTGTGTACGCGGTGCTCGCCGGACAACAGAAAATCATATGGTTGCATTCGCGTAAGTACCTCGCTCCCACACTGTTAAAAACACTTAACGCCAAATATGTCTGACGTATCACCGATATCGCGGAAATAAGTTCAGAGCATGCACGTCTCAATACGTGTGCAGTTTCGAGCTTGGTGTCCGGCCGCTTTCAATTTTGGCCCCAGTTTGAGGAATGATTACACGACTCCAGCGATGTCCGGCAAAAATGCCTAAAAAGTTCAGCCAAAGCCATTGAAAAGCATGTGCATGTCGACATAACCTAAGTTTGCTGGCCTCTAGATACGGTGTTATCTTTTGTTGTGAACTCTTTACTTCATTACGCTTTGCAGGCTAGTGATTTAAAGTCATTGGCATGTGATGGCCGGATTTTGAGAGCATGCACAACTTGCTGACAGTTACAACACCATGGCAACAATGATGCATGTAATGAATCTGAGTGCTAGGAGTTAGGCTCATGGTTACCACCAATTTCAGAAATGATATTGTTATTTGAAAAATTGCTTAGAGTTGCTATCGAATTGCACCAAACTGAGCATGCAGTTATCATATGTAGGCGATGACAGTGCAATGTAGGCAATGGCGGTATTTAATGATAGCCCAATTTCCCTAGTGTGGCAATCATTTCTGATTCCCAGCTGAACAAACCCACAGACAACGGCGGCTGGACCCCCGTGGCATCATGGCGGCAGCAGGGGGTAATGGAGCGTGAGGAGCGCACTTCCCAGCCCAGACATTCCAAAGCTCTGCTGCAGAGAGGAATGATGCAATATTAATGCTCTGTGTTAGCTAAGTTGACTAACGTCTTCATTTCTGACATCAACATTCATATAATGTAAGCAAAACATTCATCTGTCTTACATTTGGAGCACATGCAACAATGCTGTCCTATAGCCTGTACATTGTGTGGCAGTTTTGTTCATTGCTCATCTTACTGATGACGATAATTTATGTACTGAACTGCTTTCAGCACAGGGAAGATGTTCCCGCATCATCTACACCAGCTCCCAGACTGGAATCTAGGTCAGCATGTTTTTGAGGGTTATATTTTAAGTATTGGTTCACTTTGTTGGCAATATGATCAAACTTGGTCTTTACAGCAATGATACTAAACATGAATTAATTAAGCACATAAAAGTGATTAAATCATTGATAAGGAGCAATATTGCCATCATCTAATAATTATAATTTTATGTTAACACCCGACACAAACACCAGGTTGTCGGCAAGTCAACCTCAAAGGCAACTGTTGCCATCTCCTTGGGGTAGAGAGTGTTGTGCTTGATCCCTGTGAGTGCTAAATGTGTATGCCTGCATCCAGTCCTGCCCTGTCCACAGAGCAACCTTGCCCACAAAAGTAACATGTATTATGTGTACAACCACCTGGATCTCAACATCACCTAACACAGTGGCGTGAACAGGG